GCTGTTTCTTGTAAGATAAAGTCCAACAGAGGAGGGTGAGGGGAGATAGGATTCGAGGTGGACTGAGACCGGCTAATACGGAACCTTAAACGCTAAACTGCAGAAACAGTCTGAAGAAACAGTCTTTATTTAATCTGTAAAAAAGTATGTTAAAGTGTCTGAAAAGACTTGTTATTCATCATGGTTCCAGAGAGGAGACTTTAAAAAAATAAATGAATAGACGCTTCAAGGAAGCCAATTTTAACCTGATACGTACATATTTACATAATATATACAAATACACATAATGCCCACCTATCCCCGGCAAAATAGAGATCTCATTAAAAAGAAAACTATAGCCCTGGCCAGTGTGGCGCAGTCGGTTGAGCATCACCCCATGCACCAAGAGGTCGCCAGTTCGATTCCCGGCCAGGGCACATGCCTGGGTTTCAGCCTCAACCCCCAGTGAGGGGCATGTGGGAGGCAGCCAACGGATGTGTTTCTCTCTCTCTCTCTCTCATCAATGTTTCTCCCTCTCCCTTCCTCTCTCTCTAAAATCAATTTTTTAAAAAAACATTTAAAAAAGGAAAACTGTAAACCCACTATGAACAACATCCTGTAGTATATCTGTAAGGAATTACACACATGAGCAATGTGGAATCTTTGATAGAAGATTACAAACTTATCTAACCTTATCCCTATCTTGTCCTGGTTATCATTTAATTCCACCTAGAATGTTGTTCAGGATGGTGACAGCAATATGGCCCTAGGGGTGAAGAAAATTAAAGTAGAATAGTTTGGTTACATGACTGCTGGACTACCACATTATATATGAGACACCTTACATATAATATTGGAGAAAAGATCCTCTTTATCTCTCAACCATACTATTTTGAAAACAATCCCACCTGAAATTTGACTACCACAAAATTTCTGGCATTGATCTGTTGGACAGCCAAGTTTACTCTCCCTTTGCTTTAAACTACATTATTTTACCAATAAATCAGACACCACCACCACCCCCACACAAAAAACATTTATAGTGCTGGAAGTTATTAGGTTTATTCTTTTAAGTACTTCAAACATTAAATATTCAACCCAATAGTGAGATTGTGACAACTAGAAAGGGTTCCACTTTGTATACTATTAGTTCTCTGAACTTTCAAAAAACTAGACTAATTTTTTTTTTAATCTTCACCGGAGGGTATTTTTTCACTGATTTTTAGAGAAAGTGAAAGGGAGAGGGAAATACAGAGAGAAACATCGATACGCGAGAGAGACATCGACTGGTTGCCTTCTGCACGTGCCCCCACCAGGGCCAGGAATTAAGCCTGCAACCAAGTACATGCCCTTGACCGGAATCGAACCCAGGACCCTTCAGTCTGCAGGCTGACACTCTATACACTGAGCCAAACCGGCTAGGGCTAGACTTATTTCTTTAAGTGGTTTTTGGGGGGCTCTAAAATTTAGTGTGCTTTGGGAAACAGGGAGTTAAAATCTTTCGGAAGTAAACTGGGTATAAGAGTATGAAAAGCCGCTTGCTCTAGCTCTAAGGAAATGCTCTCCTTTTCTCTAATAAAGCTTTCCACAGAAGAAAGACCCTAACAATAAACAAGGTAAGGATGGGACAGATTTACAGGAGTTTATTAACTATCAAAAAAGTGTTACTCATTTTGTATGTAAGGGAAACTTTACTTATGAATGTTAAATGGGCTTCAAAGTGCTGACCTGTTAAAATTCCATGAAACAAGTCTCCAAATACGAGTCATCTGTGCCAGCCATGAGTAAGTAACTGCAGCAGCACTTCCAGAAAGACTAGGGCAAAGGACACGACTAACCCCAAATCGTCGGAAGCCCAAACAAAATATAAGCAAGTGTTAATAATTCACCAGCTACTGCTCTTAAAACCAAAGTACCTACACAATACGACTACCATCTGTTTGTACTTATGCTCGTTTTCAGCCTCTCTGCACTGAAGTGTTCAAATGTACAGTGACGTGGGTAGAAAATCAAAAGCTACGGGGGCTTTGAGTTAGGGTAGGACAGTCATTTTAATATGTAAATTTCCGTTTCACTGTTTTGCTTTCACTATCTCTACGTTATAATCTTTTAAAGAAAGCACATAGGAATTGGTTGAATAAATGTTTTGAGGTTTTCACATTTTATATTTCTATCATGTATTTTGTTTGTATGCTTGTTTGTTTCTGAGGCACACTGGACTGACTGTTTACGTGAATTCCAAAGGAGCAAAATTAGAACTTTGGGGAAGGCCAATATTAACAGGAAGCACCCTATTGTTCTGAGAAAAACACTGAACTTGAACTTAAAATCAGAAAACCTGGGTCCCAGGCCTGGTTTTCTCCTGGCAGCTGAGGAACCTTAATCAAGTTGCTTAGGTTATCTTTCCTTTACCCCTGTAATGGGGTGTCAGTACCTACCACACCCTATTTAAAAAGTGGATACATGAATAAACTGAGATAACATATTCAGAAAAACATGACAGATTAAACTGCTCTGCAGTAATGGATTCCTCTTGTAGCACCCCTAGCAAACAGTCTGGCATCACTAGTACACACAGTGTTTCCAGTACTTGATCACTTTGACTTTCTGGATGGTTGAGCATGAAATCAAATCAGATTTGGTTCAGAACCATATCTCCAAAGGAATGTAACCATCTTCGTGTTCTGGCTAGTCTCCCCTAATAAGACCCCCTCTTGAGTAACACAGTCCAGTGGAGAGCCTGTGCTGCCAGTAAATTGAGCTGGCTGTGTCTACATAAACTCCTACAATCTGGTTAGCGCATGTAGCACGCCCCAGGACGTTTTCAGGCATGACAAAGATTTGAAAATTACTAACAGTTACTTTTTCTTGAGCATTGAGCCAAAAAAGAAAGAAAGATTCCTAAAGAAATTGACACAGAATTACCAAAAACTTTATGAGAAATAAATTAAAGGCATGGTTCAAAGTAGCTTTTTAAGTCCCGGTGGTCATTGATTTGGTTCTTGTGTGTCTGACAATAAAAAAGAATTCTGACAGAAAGGATGCAGTTCCAGAGGAGGTCTCTGAGGAACGGCCTTTGAAACTGTTTATAGAGCTAAGATTCAAATGCTCTCAGATGAGGTGTACCTGGACTCGTTTCAGAGAAGAAATCTTTTTAAATACAAGTAAAATTATAAATATTGAATAACAATATGCGTATTATAGTTTTATATATAGAAAAGTATAAACTTTTTATAACTACAAATGGTCATGATAGCACCATTAGATGGCATTCTAGCTGAAGAGAAAACACAATTTTTGTCTTATTATGAGATACTAAGTTATCACTGCACTTAGATCTACCAACCATTTGAGGGAGTTAGAAGTTAAAGTAAATAGCTGTAACTTTAGTTAATCTCTGCATATTTTGATCCAAATATGGTAAAGGGCAGGGCTAAAGCAGGGAGTGTCCTATAATAAACAGGGCTCAGACTTGCAACAGAAAATTAAAATACACTCCACTCAAGAGAACTCTGCACTTTGCACTTTGGTAAAAGTCTCATTTATGTTGAGATTTCTAAACTTTTCTTAAGGAAGTAAGTTTTCTTTGCTCTTCTTTCTTCCGAATTGCAGAAATCAGATAAAAATAATAGGATCACTTTCACTTTAATCACACTCCATTATGAATTATTCATTTCTCTAAATTGGGCATTCACATGCTCTTTCATAAACCTTGTTAAGCATCAGACTATCCTTCACTAACTTTTAAAATGTATTTTGTACAGACGGAGATAAATAGCAAATGTTTTATTTTTAAATCTATCTTTAAAAGAACAGAATTAATAGTCTTTTACATTAAATTAGTGTTTGGTCACTGTACTTGCGTACATATGTATTTGTTAGCTTTCTAAGTGATTCACTACTATGTTTTCATGCAACTATATTTATGATAGTACATAAAGTTCTAGTTAAGAAAAATGTTATGTTTTGATTAATATTTGTTTAATGAAAGTATTCAACCATAACACTCCAGGTATGTTTTGATTAGTTATTTTTGCCTCTGTTTACATTATTATAGCTACTATTGTAGATATCTAGGTTCCTACATATTTTCTTTTTACCACTTCTTTCATTTACCTAAAAATATTATTTAACACCTACTTTTCACGGGGCCTGTGCCAGGTACTGTGGAAGTACAAAGCTATGTGCAAACATGGTTTCTACCCTTACAGAGTTCTTAGACAAGTAGCTAAGATATAAGATGGGGCCAGAAACAACTAACACAACACTGCTTTATGTACTCATTTTCTAATAAATGCTTATTTGAATTTAGAGGGTTACTTAAGTTTAATCTCACCTCAGATCAAAAGTTGGTTACGAATTTTAGTACAATTATGCCTCACTTTATGGAAAAGATTTTTTTTTCCCAGGGCAATTAGACATCAGTCATGCTTTGTATATCCAATCCTAAAATTTTAACTTCAAAAATGCTTTATCTTCATGTCAGATGTCACAGATCTCTTACCCGATAGATGTTAGTAAGAGTTTGGCTGATGCACCCTTTAGGATCTTCCCCTGCCTGTCCTTTCAGCTTCCTCCTCTGGGACTCTTCCTGAGGACCTGACCTTCAGGCTCGAGGCATAAAACTTCAAGCCTTGACTCTGAGCAACTGGGTGGGAGAATTAGAAGCAAATCAAGTGAGAGTGGAAGGATCTAATGGAGATGTTTCGTGAGCTAACTTTTTTAATCCTCACCCAAGGGTATTTTTTCCATTGATTTCTAGAGAGAGTGGAAGGGAGGGGAGAGAGAGAAAGGATAGAGAAAGAAAAGTCAGTGTCACAGAAACACATCAACTGGTTGCCTCCTACAGACACCCTACAAGGGGCAGGGATCAGACCTGTAACGCATGTACATGCCCTTGACCAGAATCAAACCCACAACTCCCTGGTATGCAGGCCATTGTTCAAACCACTGAGCCATGCCAACCAGGGCATGAATTAACTTTTTGTTATTTTTTTCCCTTTTATTGAATTTATTGGGGTGACGCTGGTTAACAAATTACCGTATTTGCCGGCGTATAAGACTGGGCGTATAAGACGACCCCTAACATTTCCACTCAAAATACAGAGTTTGTTATATACTCGCCGTATAAGACTACCCCCTCTTCCGCACACCTTCCACACACCAAATAAAAGGTAAAACAATCAGATTTGATTTTAACATTTTAATTTATATTCAAATGCTTATGACATGCAGGAAAACTGTCACAAGGCTGTATGTAATCAAACATATACATAAAACAGTGCAAGTTTATTACCGGTAAACATACCGGTAATTCACTAAAGAAAACACACTCTATAGACTGGTACCGTAGATGCTTCTCAGGAACACAGGCAAGCAGCCCACAACCTAGAGGGACTGTCAATGATAGAAGAAAGAT